GCTGTGGCTGCTGCCCACCTCGTTGGTGGCCAGGCAGGTGTAGGTGCCTTCCTCCTTCTTGCCCAGGTGAGGGAGCAGCAAGGTGCCGTTGGGGAAGGCGCGGGCACTCTGCCGCTCCCCGGGGCCGGCCGCCCCCTGCGCGGGCAGGGCGTTCTGCCCGTCGGCCTCGCTGCCGCCCGCGATCTCCAGGGTCTGGCCCGAGGCTTGGATCCTCCAGGTGAGCTCCGGCCGGGGGAGCCCCTCGGCGTGGCAGTGCAAGGCCAGGGCAAAGCCGTAGGCGAGGCTCTGCAGGTCCGGCTGGGAGCTCAGGCGCACGGTGGGCGCGGAGCAGCGAAAGTAGGGGATGCTGGCCAGCGGCTGGCCCTTCCACAGCTCGGGCGCAGCGCAGCTGATGGCCTCCCTCTCGGGGATGGAGATCAAGGTGTGCTCAGTCCAGTTCTTCAGCCACATGAGCTGGCAGGTGCAGTTGAAGGGGTTGTTGTAGATCTGCAGGTGGGAGAGCGAGGTGAGCGGGTCGAAGGTGCCCTCGGCCAGGCCACTGAAGAGGTTGTTGTTGATGCGCAGCGAGCGCAGGTCGCGCAGGGCGTGGAAGGCCGAGCTGGGCAGGTGGGCCATGCGGTTGTTGTTCATCTTGAGCAGCTGCAGGGCGCTGAGGTTGCGCAGGTCGGCCCAGGGGAAGTCCACGATCTGGTTGTGGCTGACGTCCAGGTTCTTCAGCTGGCCCAGCACGGCCAGCGTGCCTTCTTCCACGGCGCGGATCTGGTTATGGGCCAGCCAGAGCGAGGTGACTTGGGTGACCTCGGAGAAGGAGCCCCGGGCCAGCGCCGTGATCTTGTTGGCGGAGAGGCTCAGCGTGGTCACGTTGGAAGGCAGCCCCGAGGGCACCGTCTGCAGGTCTTTGTAGGCGCAGTCCGCGAACTGTTGCGCATATTTGTCCACGCAGGCACACGGCTCCGGGCAGCCCGCGCTGGGCGCCCACCACAAAGCCGAGGCCACCAGCCAGGCACGCAGCAGCGCCATCGCCACCATCCTGGCCCTGCAGGAGCGGGGAGAAAGAGAGAGAGAGAGTCTGAGAGCCGCGCGCGCCCCCAGGACTCCCAGCCCCTTCCAGAGTGCTTAGGAAGGAAAAATACTCAACCTTGGAGCAGGCACCCGCCCCCCGCTCGCTTTCCTCCCATCCTGGGGTCCGCCATGTGCCCTGGGACGGTTAGCTGATCCCATCATCCCCAGATAGTGGGGATCTTGGAGCTGCACCCCCATATTCCATGCTGAGGAAGACGAGACCTCCAAGTCTTGACCTACCACCCCCATCATCCTCAGCCAGAAGAAGCGGCAGAATTGGAGCACTGGCTGCGTTGGTAAGCCGGGTTTCCACAAGGGTCATCGAGCGTCTGGACTCGCGCCCAGAGAACCGTCCACTAAACATCCGGGCCGGGTTCTCACGACCCAGGAGGTCGACAGGTGCTTGGCTGGCGGTGCGAATGTAGTCCGTCAGCCCAATATTGCCAGCCTTCCTCCTTTTCCTCTCTTATGCCGCTCGAGTCCGATCTTTCGCCAAGTAAGACCGCTTCTTGAGCCGGCTGGAACTTGCTCCGAATGCTGAGGACGGAGCTCCCACCGGTTTAGTCCCCGGCCCCATCGGATAAGGGCCTTCTCAGCGGTCAAGCTGGCATCTTCCATGCCTATCTGTCCCCGGAGTTTTCCCCTTAGCCTCGCCCTGCCGTCCTCTCTAGTTTGGCAGGCGCCACCGGAAAGGTTTGTGTGTGGAGGGGGGGGGTGCTCCAGCCGCTCCTCCCCACAAGCTTCTCCGTCCATCCACCCCTCCTCCCTTTCAGGGACTGGGGCTACACCCCTCACTAAGCCATGGCTCCTTCAATAAGCCACCCTTTAGGCTGAGATATAAACAGCGCTCGCCAGCCGCAGGCGTGGGCTGGGCTGGGCTGTCCCCGACCGAGCCGCAGACCAGCAGGAGCCCCCGCCGGCCCGCCTAGCCGCCCGCGGTCTCTCGAGGCGCCCGGACTCGCAACCAGCGAAGCCACCCACAGCAGCCCCCGGCTGACTCGGGTTCCTCCAGTTCAAGCGACCCGTTCGGGCTCCTCTAGCAGCCTCCTTGAAGCCAGGCTCCCCCCTCGGCTCCCCCTTCACCAGGGACAGTCCCGGGTGGCTCCCCCCCGGGCTTGAGCCTCCCCAGGCAAAGTGGGATCCGCCGGAGGGGGGCTGCTCCG